CTCAGGATAATTTGTCTGGCTTGTTATTAGGACCCCCTCATACACCCCATTGAGACTCTTGGTTAGAATATGTCCCCAGCAGCCCATGCTGGCCATAAGAGTTGACCAGTTGGATCAGAGTGAGTGAGTGAGTGAGTTGGGTTTAACGCCGCTTTTAACATTATTCCAGTCATATCACGGCGTGTCAGCTTAATGTGGGAGGAAAGCCCCAAGTGATGCAGGTCTCAGACGTTTACCACTTCGGTGAAACCCACGAGCACGGGTATGGTGGTGACAAACCTAGAAACATAGCTCTGCACAGCGAATTGAGGCACCTTAGATGACTGGGCCACCCGTGCCCCCCAGTTGGATCAGATGTCAGACTTGGTTTCTTGGTTAGAATACGTTAGAATACGTCCCCAGCAGACTCCGTCATATAGCTGGAGTGCAGAGTTTAATAACAAATAAAAAATATTTTTATATTTCATAAAATTTCTGTACCCCGTACAGAAACAGGAAGTTATCGGTTTCACTCATTCACATTCAGAGCTGTTTGTTTGAGGTGATGTTTTACCCCTGAAACAATTAAGGGGTGTGCAGATCTTGTTTTAACAAATATCCAGCAGTAACAAAGCAATGGAAATTAAGAGTAGAACTCCATGGGCATTCCGGGCTAGAACAGGTCTCCTAGGTGAAGCCCTTTTCTTGTGTCCCCTGACGGGATATTGCTGGAATATTGCCAAAAGCAGTGTAAAATCATACTCACTCACTCATCCACTCTCAATCCATATCCCCATGGGGATTCTGGGTCAGATTGGTCCCCAGCAACCAATGCTGGTCATAAGGTTTGTTTGTTTGTTGTTTGACACCGCATTCAGAAATATTCCAGCTGCTATAATCCAGCGATTGATATCATGAGCATCGATCTACGCAATTGGGATACGATGACATGCATCAACCAATTCAGTGAGCCTGACCACCCAATCCGGTTAGTCGCCTGTTACGACAAGCATAGTCGCCTGTTACGACAAGCATAGTCGCCTGTTATGACAAGCATGGGTTGCTGAAGACCTGTTCTACCCCGGATCTTCACGAGGGAGACAAGCATGGGTTGCTGAAGACCTGTTCTACCCCGGATCTTCACGAGGGAGACAAGCATGGGTTGCTGAAGGCCTATTCTACCCCGGATCTTCACGAGGGAGACAAGCATGGGTTGCTGAAGACCTGTTCTACCCCGGATCTTCACGGGGGAGACAAGCATGGGTTGCTGAAGACCTGTTCTATCCCGGATCTTCACGAGGGAGACAAGCATGGGTTGCTGAAGACCTGTTCTACCCCGGATCTTCACGGGGGAGACAAGCATGGATTGCTGAAGACCTGTTCTACCCCGGATCTTCACGGGGGAGACAAGCATGGGTTGCTAAAGACCTATTCTATCCCAGATCTTCATGAGGGAGACAAGCATGGGATGCTAAAGACCTATTCTACCCCGGATCTTCACAGGGAGACAAGCATGGGATGCTAAAGACCTATTCTACCCCGGATCTTCACAGGGAGACAAGCATGGGATGCTAAAGACCTATTCTACCCCGGATCTTCACGAGGGAGACAAGCATGGGTTGCTGAAGACCTATTCTATCCCAGATCTTCACAGGGAGACAAGCATGGGTTGCTGAAGACCTATTCTATCCCGGATCTTCACGGGGAGACAAGCATGGGATGCTAAAGACCTATTCTAACCCAGATTTTCACAGGGAGACAAGCATGGGTTGCTGAAGACCTATTCTATCCCGGATCTTCACGGGGGAGACAAGCATGGGATGCTAAAGACCTATTCTACCCCGGATCTTCACAGGGAGACAAGCATGGGATGCTAAAGACCTATTCTACCCCGGATCTTCACAGGGAGACAAGCATGGGATGCTAAAGACCTATTCTACCCCGGATTTTCACAGGGAGACAAGCATGGGTTGCTGAAGACCTATTCTATCCCGGATCTTCACGGGGGAGACAAGCATGGGATGCTAAAGACCTATTCTACCCCGGATCTTCACAGGGAGACAAGCATGGGATGCTAAAGACCTATTCTACCCCGGATCTTCACAGGGAGACAAGGGGGGGATGCTAAAGACCTATTCTACCCCGGATCTTCACAGGGAGACAAGCATGGGATGCTAAAGACCTATTCTACCCCGGATCTTCACCGGTCGCTGGTCATAAGAGGCAACTTAATGGATCACATGGTCAGGCGTGGTGATATCGCATCCGACAGTACAGTTGCTAACAATATCTATCACTTGTTTGTCTGGTCCTGGCAATCATTTTCATGCTGCCACCACACAACAAACAAACAATAAACATTTAGCAAAGATTTCCCCCGACAAATAGATTCCTGACTAGCTGATTTCACTGTATATGCAAAGGACATCAGTTGAAAAACAGTACATGTTGCAAGATGGCCTGAGAAGTGTAAAATAGCACCAGTCAGATAAGCAAGTGGCAAGCAGGCACTAGCAAACTGCTGTTTCCGAATGTACAAACAAGTTCACAATAATGTATGCCAGTAACAGCATTATAACTGATGAAAGTCGTAAAAATATTCCTGTGTGACTCATTCATGCACATCATGTGACAATATGAACATACCTTATTCGACGTAATAAGCGCCTACGGCACTCTCAAAATTAAAAATAGGGGGCTCTTATTAGAATAAAATTTGGTGCAAAAAAAAGATGTTGAAAGATCGTAGCTTTCGTGGTTTATGCTGACAGCCTGAAATGATACAAAAGAAAAGTCTGTGCATATTATTACGTTGAATACGGTATTATTGAGTCACTGGCTTGACTGACCTCACAGTTTTGTTGGCGATACATGGCCATTTGACATGGCCATCTTCTAACCAAGTTTGCCAGCCTGACCACCCAATTCCGTCAGTCGCCTCTTACGGCAAGCAGGGTTGAGCTGCTCAAGACCTATTCTAACCTGGATCTTCATGGATAAAACGAAGTAAAAAGCAGAAATATTAGTAATAACAATACTTAAAATGAACTGGAAACACCTTAGTTCCAATTTGAGAATTTTTACAGACTTGGGGCTAAATAATGGCCTCTGAGCGGGTCTAGATAATTCCCTGTAATGGCTCTAAATACGTCAGAAATTTCAGTTTAAAAAAGGCAAAGTCATAAATGGAAATTAGATACTCAAAAATATTGTGTAATGTGAACCAAACTGTTAAAAATAGACTGTCAGTGCTTAAACCTCATTATTTGGAAAAAGTAAAGCTTGAGAAAATATGAAACCAAACAAAATATATTTGAGAATATGATCATTAACATGCGAGGTATATTTCTGTTAAGGGCAACTCCCTACAGCTCTATTCCAGAAAATAATTGCTACGATAAGGTGTTAACCGCCAGACACGTACCTAAATTAACATTTAAAAACCGGAAACTACGTCAAACTAGCTGCATCTTGTTTTCAGTATCAGTAATTAGTATCACATCTTATTGGTTAATTCTCATCAATAAAAACGCCTCAAATCATGCACTGAAATAAGAACATGGTACTTTCATGTTAATATGTTAAAAATCACTCAATGTTCTCATTAAGGATCATTTAATACAGGATGCCATGATGAGGCTGGAAGAAACACTAAAGATGGCATCATCCAGATGACAACAAGGGCTAAAACTACAACTATTCAGGAGGCGACAGCTGCTGAATGAAAATGGAAAATGCCAAAATAATGTATAAAATAGTCCCATATAAAAAACGCCAACAAAGGTCAGATTAAAGGACGCCCATGTTTATTAGTGCCTGAAATAAGAGTAGTAATTAGATCATGGGGATAAACATGACATGCAGACAACAGTATATATAATTCAGTATTTGGCAACAGATTTATAAAAACAAAATAGGAGTGAGCTTGAATTAACACCGCAATTGTTGTATTTCAGTTATAACATGGCTTGTCAAAAGGGGAGAGGGGACAGCAGAGAGCAGGTTGTCCTTTGTGATCACATGATCCTGGAAGAACTAAGGGAGACAACTTTGGACAGTTAAAGCTTTTGCCTTTTGGCTGTGTCAGAGTACAGGGCCCACTACAGCACCAGGCAAGGTAATAACAGGTAACATCTTTTAACATCTTTTGGTACGACACAACCAAGGGATTGAACTAGACGTTCCACTCTCTGGGCAGAATCTCTCTCCACTCGACAGATGGAGTTTAACACTGATTAGTGGTCAACTATCATACTACCATAGATTACAAAAGACTGTGCTGGGACTATCGTAACTACCACAATTTACAATAGACTGTGCTAGGACTATCGTAACTACCACAGTTTACAATAGACTGTGCTAGGACTATCGTAACTACCACAGTTTACAATAGACTGTGCTAGGACTATCGTAACTACCACAGTTTACAACAGACTGTGCTAGGACTATCGTAACTACCATAGTTTACAATAAGCTTGCTGGTACTATCGTAACTACCATAGTTTACAATAGACTGTGCTAGGACTATCGTAACTACCACAGTTTACAATAGACTGTGCTAGGACTATCGTAACTACCACAGTTTACAATAGACTGTGCTAGGACTATCGTAACTACCACAATTTACAATAGACTGTGCAAGGACTATCGTAACTACCACAGTTTACAATAGGTTGTGCTAGGACTATCATAACTACCACAGTTTACAATAGACTGTGCAAGGACTGTGCATCTCCCATAGTTTAACATATATTAGCGTCAAGTATCAGAACTCCTACAGTTAAAAACAAACCTGCAATAATCGTAGCACCACAACTACTTTGCACAAGTAGACCCCTGTTGATCATACATAAGGAAGGCCACTGGTGCCACTAGTGCCACTTGCATAGACACTATGACCTTCAAGTATTGCAAGTCTAATCATAAGCATACAAGTATGGATAATCTTAGTGCAAAGTCCGTGCATGCAAGTGGGGAAACAAACATTTCTAACTCTGCTATGAGGGCATGAAGCAACTTACCTCTTCAGCACATAGCGTGTCAGCAAACAAGATGAAAATCTGCAAAAGTCAGAAACAGTCTGAATATACATAAAATAACCAATTATCTAATATGCAGAAACGATTTCATCCACCAATACCATAATGTCCACAGCGGGAGACTACGAAACACATGTATAATTCAGATGAATTTATCAGGAACAATATTTACTTTCTCCATGTTCTTTGCACCTTGACAATTTGTAGAAAAACAGATGTAAGTGAGTGAATTGGGTTTAACGCCGCTTTAAACGGTATTTCAGTCATATCACGGCATGTCAGCTTAATGTGAGAGGAAAGCCTGAAGTGATGCAGGTCTCGGACGTTTACCACTTCGGTGAAACCCATGAGCATGGGTATGGTGCTGACAAACCTAGAAACATAATCAGGGCAAACCGGGATTCGAACCCATAATCATAGGTTTCTGGCGTGTCCAAGGGACGCAACTCTGCACAGCGAATCCAACACCTTAGACGACTGGGCCACCCGTGCCCCCATGTGAGTGAGTGAGTGAGCGTGTCAGTTTAGTGTGGGAGAAAAGCCGGAAGTAATGCAGGTCTCAAAACGTTTATCACTTCTGTGAAACCCATGAGCAGGAGCATGGTGCTGACAAACCTAGAAACATAATCGGGGCGAACTGGGTTCCAAACTAACAATCATGTTTCTGGCGTGCCCAAGGGACGCAACTCTGCACGGGAAATTGAGGCACCTTGATGAACTGCCCACCCGTGCCCCATGTTTTAAGAAGAGTCCACAAAGACACACAATGTTATTTGTAAACAGATTATGTGAAACTAAAGGACTGATTTGCACTTTATTGTCCAGAAAGCTACCTACCACCATGATCGATAGTCAGTATTTAGAAACATGTCCAACACCCAGGCTCTTCAGACAGATAAAGCAAGGTGATTAATTGTGCAACCTTTCAATAAATGCATTCTCAATTTTGACTAATCCAAAATGCTGAACAGTTTCAAGCTTATTTTTCACTGAAAGAATGAACACATGCTAAAAATCAATATGCTAGAAATACAGCATAAATGATATGGTCACTCGAAAATTCACCCCATTCTTTACAAGATGCCGAAGTAATGTGATAAATTGGCTTTGTTTTATCCAAGAATCTCCATCATAAACAACAGGGTATGGTCTGACAAAGCAAAGCCATCCATCAGCCAGATTACAAAACTGTCAAACAGAACTCCGCTCCCTCCCTGTACAAATACCAATCTATTGCATCCTGTGCACAGTAGATGTCTCCCAGGAATATCGTGTGTAATAAACCATGCATTATCATGATTGATAAATGAACAGTGCATCCTGTAGGTTTAAAGGGGACGAGGCTTCAGCAACATGGCAGTCCATTGTTTCACAACATGTTTTTGGATTGTTTGTTGTTACACCGCAGAACGCCTCTGTGGTCTAGTGGAAGAGTGTCCTCCCGGATGGCGGAAATACAGGGTTCGAGTGAGTGAGTGAGTTGGGTTTAACGCCGCTTTTAACAGTATTCCAGTTATATCGTGGCATGTCAGCTTAATGTGGGAGGAAAGCCCGAAGTGATGCAGGTCTCAGACGTTTACCACTTCGGTGAAACCCATGAGCACGGGTATGGTGCTGACAAACCTAGAAACATAATCGGGGCGAACCGGGATTCGAACCCACAATCATAGGTTTCTGGCGTGCCCAAGGGACGCAACTCTGCACAGCGAATTGCGGCGCCTTAGAGGACTTGGCCACCTGTGCCCCCTCCAGGGTTTTGATTCGCGGCAGCATTATACCAAAAGTTGTTGAAAGATTGTACTTGTTACCCTGTCTGGCGCTCGGCATTAAGGGGCTAAAACAAGAACTGGTCGACTTGGAGTCAGTATACTGTGTCTGCTCTGAGTGGGGTACAGACAGACAGACAGACAGACAGACACGTCGTTACATAAGTGCAATAAACCCAATTTCACCTCACCTCACCTGTTAACACCTCAATCACTATTCCGGGTATGGCTTGTACATAATAAAGTCTGGCCAGACAAACCAGTGGTTGAACTGGGCAAAGCCTGATACCATCGGGGCACTATGGCACGCAATCATTCACAACCAATCAATTAAGTCCCCTCTTACGACAAATTGACCACAGGTTCCCACAAGTTTGAAACGCTCATTTTAGCTGGAAACGGAAAACAGACCCTAGCGAGTGAGTGTGTGAGTGAGTGAGTGAGTGGTTTCACGCCTCTTTTGGCAATATTCCAGCAATATCACAGTGGAGGACACCAGGAATGGGCTTCACACATTGTACCCATGTGGGGAATCAAACCCAGGTCTTCAGCGTGATGCGGGAAAGCATAAACCACTAGGCTACCCCACCACCCTGCAACACCCATAGTGCTAAGTGAGTGAGTGAGTGAATATGGTTTTCAGCTGCTTTTAGCAATAGTAAGCAATAGGATGGCAGGAGACCAGAAAAGAGCTCTGTAGGGAACAAACACAATCCTTTGGCTTAAAAAGCAAATGCTTAAAAAACTATAGGCGCCTTCCCACACCCTTCCCACCATAGTGCTAAGACTCACATAGTAGTCATATATGGAATCAAACCTGGGTATCCGAGGACAAGCAAACACTCGAGCCACAAGGCTACTAGGGCTGGGACGAGTCCAAATTTACTACCCGGGTACCCAACCCCCTATTACCCGACCCTACCCGGGTACCCACTGTAGGTCTAAAGTGTTGGGAACACAATGTCTAACTGGGAGTAGTTTAACTGTAGCCCTGGCAAAAACTGTTTCGATACATGTATGAAACCAGAGACAATAATAGATATATGGTCTCTTATGAAACGATCAAATCATGCGTACACTGATGTTGACTGAAGCTTTATCTTTACTCAAACATATACAAGTCAAAAGAATGTGTGCATCATCAGAAAGATATGGCAACATTAGCGACTTGTAGTGTAATCACTGAGTTCCGATGAGTTTTTGTCATTAAACAATATGTCTCGTGACTTACCACGGGTCCGGGTAGTACTGTGGGTACCCGGGTCCTACTCAGGACCCATCCGACCCAGGTACCCGAGTTACCCGTCCCAGCCCTAAAGGCTACCCCGATGCTTCCTAAGGGTGACTGATTAATAAGGGTCAGCCATCTAATGCAGCAGCTGTTGATTCACCACGGGAGAGATACGCTTTACAGAAAGCACACGACGCACAATTTTTATTCTGGCATAAAAGAAACGCTGAAATTCAAATCCTCCCATCCTACAGCTTGTTACACGCGAGAAGCAATTCTGGTATTGATTTTGAAAGCATATATAAAATGCCATGCCCTTAAACTCCCAGTCAGGCTATAAGGAGAAATGTTTGTATCATGTCTCTCAGCATGGCCTGGCGTGATGCGGTGAAATGTTACACCTCCAGTCATAGGTCAACTCAAGGGGCACTATCGGAAAAATCTATCCAGTTTGACTCTCTCCTACAATTTCTTGTAAAGACCCATTAACCCAATTTCATGCAGTCTTAGTCGGAGGGACTTAAGTATACAAATGTCGCTCACCGAATATTGGAGGCAAATTAGAAATAGATTTGAACTGAATTCATTGAACCTCCAGACGGAAAAATCAAATCCCAGATCGGCCATCTTTGATCTTCCTCATTGCAGCATCAGAAGCTGATGGTTGTGTCAGAAGCATTGATGTGAAGACTCCCAAATCTAGCCTGGCCGTAAGATATGCAATCAAAACAGTGACATTGCATTGCAACTTATCAGTGAGACACATTCTCAACTCTAGGTTTCTTTCCTTAATAACCATCGTCTGAAGAGGCTCTTGGACAAAAGCTATTCACCCACATCTTGGTTGGTTGATTGGTTTGTTGTTTAACGCCGCACTCAGCATTAGTGCAGCTAAATGACGGCAGTCTGTAAACAATCGAGTCTGGACCAGACAATCCAGTGATTGATATCATGAGCATCGATCCACGCAATCGAGATACCATGACATGCATCAACCAAGTCAGCGAGCCTGACCACCCGATCCCGTTAGTCGCCTTTTACGACAAGCATAGTTGCTTTTCACGGCAAGCATGGGTTGCTGAAGACCTTTTCTACCCCGGATCTTCACGGGTCCCCACAACTTGGTCCACAAACACATCAGCTGCCCAGCTGGGCATGTCCCGTGTGAGCGCTAGTTGATGATGGAGGGACAAGAAGCTGGCAGATGAAATCTTGCACAGATCAGACACTGCTGTGTTGGGTATAGGCACATTAAGCACGTATGTAGTGGACTTCAATCAAGAGCTTGACAGGGTAAATACAGGGAAGAAGAACATATGGCATCAAGATCGACCTCTGACCCCCATCTTCAGTCGTACATATCTAGATGCAGCAAGGGTAATCATTCAGCCCCCTCATCAATCATGGCAGTCCCGTGAGCACTGATTCAGTTATTACTTTCGGCGACAAGATTTTAGCTGATCCAAGACAATGCACCACTTTAGTTTACAGTCATGACAGGACATAAATGAAGATTAGTAAGCCAAGAACAGCATAACTTGGAAACCAAGTACCAATTCCATGAGCAGAATGATAATATTGTTGGTGTAGGGTGAGTGAGTCAGTAAGGTTTAATGTCGCTTATAGCAATATTCTATCAATGTCATAGAAGGGAACACCAGAATTGGGCTTAACACGTCTGTGTGTCTTCAGAGTGATGACAAACGCTTTAACCACTAGGCCTACCCCCCGCCCCTGGGTGGGTTGAGTGCATGGGTATGGTGCTGACAAACCTAGAAACATAATCGGGGCTAACCGGGATTCCAACCCACAATCATAGGTTTTCGGCGTGCCCAAGGGATGCAACTCTGCACAGCGAATCATGGTGCCTTAGATGACTGGGCCACCCGTGCCCCCTTGCCTGGTGAGCTCAGCCAGGATATATCTATGACAAGACAATCTCTTCATTGTACAAGTGATGGCCTTCTACTGGTAACAGTCATTTGAAGCCCACTAAGAGAAATATTAGGCTTAAGATAAACTGA